TGCTGCTGCCAGCTTCACATCCAACCACTCAACACCCCCCCAAATCCAGCATTTCTGGCTGCTCCGTACCCCGCCCCAGCTTTCTTACATCCCGGGGCAGGGACCCACAGGCTGATTTGCTTGGCCCCACACCCTGCTCATGTCATCTCTGCTTCTAATACTTTTTCATGCCCATTAAAAAGACCCTTCTAAAACAAATATCATGAGGGAATTAAAAACAGAAACAATTATCTGGGTAGAAAAGTAGAATACACTGCTCAAAGACCCCAATCAAAACCAAAGATTTTCAAGTTAGTTCATATCTAATCTGTTCTACCTTTTTTCTGTTTCTTCATATTTTATACTGCAGTATGGATATAGTGATACCTACCTTAGGGTCTCCTCAAGACCCACATATATCATGTCACTTTAAAATTATGTTTGTTTTGAATTATTTTTATGTTCTCATAATATTATAAATGACATTTTTATTGGTTAGAATCTGACATTAAACTTTTAACACCCATATTTGGGATACTACTTTGTCATCAGTGGATGTTCTGATGGGCAAAGCAATCAGAATGTTTATGATTAGTAGTAGACGCTGTTACAGTGTTCTCTATTTTTATATACAGGAATTTAGTTTTCAAATCAATTCAGATTTTTCAAGATCAAGACTACTCTACAATTCAATTATAAGTATGTATAACTATGCATCTTTGCCTATAAAATGTGTATGGGTAACTTCATATTTTAATCAAGCATACATAATTATTCTATACCAAAAACTCAAAAGGTTTTTTCCTTGTCTCAAAGTCCTCTTTAGAAATAAGTATTACCAATTCCAATATAGTCTTTAATATACCACTCATTTAACAGTAGACTAGATAGATGGAAAATAATAAATCCCAGAAAACTGTTTCATTTTAGTTTGCATTAATATTAAATTATGATTGAGAGATTTTATGATAGCAAATTGAAATCAGTTCTAAATTTGGTAAATTATGCATAAAACCTTTGTAATAATCCTCAGTGCATTTTAGGACACTGGCATTTAATTTGGAAGTCAGTTTTTCATACAGAAGAGATCTGTCTGTAAGAGAGCGGGTCCTCAAAGTCATGTCTATCATTTCAAGTGCAATTATTATTCTCCAGCATCGTTCAAAAATTCCCTACATATTTTTGGCGTATAAAGATTGCATCCAGAAGGCAAAGAACCTAAACCTCTAGTGTTATATAGTGCTTAAAATCTGCAGATCCTAGGCTAACATACTTACTGGGCACATCTACACATGCATATTAAAAATGACACAAACTCCAGCATAGTATTGCTCCCGGGTGCTGTGCTACACGTGCCCTGGACTGCAACATATTGAGCTGGGTTGGAGCAAGCCTGGCAGGGGACCCAGGGAGTCAGCCTGCCAGCCTGGGGCTGCTCTAACCCAACTCAATGTGCTGCAGAGGGGCTGACTGGGGCATGAAGGTGCTCTAGTGTAGGACTAGCCGGAAGGCAGCCTGCACAATGAAGCACCCTCATGCCCCAGCCAGCTGCGTTGTATCAGTCTCTATACATGCATTGCTGCAAAGTAAAAAACTCTGCAGTAGGACAGTACTTGAATTACAAAGACTACAAGGACAAGCCATAAACTACAGAGTTTATTAGTTTCCTGAGGCCTACTAGGGCCACACTTGTAGATGCCAAGACATGTACTGCAGAGCTAATTAGTCTGCTCTGCAGTAAATGTCTTGTGTAGATATATACACTGGCTACTAATTAATACCATACTTTACACACATTCAAAGCAAATTACTGAAAAGTGAAATATAGTTGTATGAAAAAAATAAATATCTTAATTTTTTCAAGAATAAAATTTTATTCTTGAAAGAAAAAAACATTGCTTTTGATATGCTTAAATAATATTTAATCTGTGAAAGGTAAACAAAAAATGCACTTCACATTACGCTTCACTCTGTTCTTCACTATTCGGATTCAGAATCTGGCTCTTTTTCACTTGCTTGGGCAGTAAGCATTTTATAGCACATCACAAATTTGTCTACTTTCTCCACTCCTGTTCATTTTAGATGAAACTAAAATTCAAGAAACATTCTTTCTACTGAAGCAGATGATGTTTCACATAGTTGAGCATGAGTCACAAATGTAACAGGCTTCAAATCTAAGTATTTTTTCAATGAAGGCTACCAGGTTGCAGATTTTACAATCATCCTCATAACTTCAGAGGAACAATTTAAGGTTGGGACTTTCATGTGTCCGGAACTGAAGTATCCTTGGCAAAAGTTCTTGGAAGACCCACTATAAAAAAAATACTTTTTGTTCTGCATTTAAATTTGCCTCCCTGTATTGTTTATGTAATATAGGCTAGTAAGTAAACTGGGATCACACAATCTTCAAAGCTAGACTTGATCAATGTTGCATATGGTTTCAGATCTTATGTACTGTAAATAGTCACTCGTGTTACATCTGCAACTGTGGTGTGCTCCTTCCGGAATGCTTCTGTTGGTTTTACATGCTGACAGGTGCCGTCTCTTTGCACAGCTGTATGTTGCTGGTAATTTGGTTATGTTGTCCTGAATGTCATTCTTGAGCTCATCTATAATTTTCATGTAAAATTCTTTTCTGAACTATAAAAAGGCGTGCCATTTGGCTGTTCCACTTTGTTTCTGCTGGCAATTGGGGCTTAACAGATCCTTTACTATTGTTGAAGTAGCCTTTCGCAGCATGATGATCTCGTAAATATTTCTGAATCTGTAGCACTTGACTAACAATAGGTTTCACAGGATTAGACATTTCCCAGAAGGTTCATGGGATGAGAGGCAGGAGTTCTTCATATATTTTTTCATTGTCACCAACAACAATCTTCACATTACAGCAGCTCTAGAATGTTTGAGAACGTTATAGAAGTTTCTGCAACATTTGAGAATGTTTGCCTGATGAAAGAGAGAGGTAGTTAGCCATGACAGTCTAAAATAAAGCAGAAGGCAGGGTAGATTTCCACCTCATAAACTGACTAAATCAGAGGGGTATAGATGAGCTTTTCTGAGCCCGTGGTCATTTCATGAGATAATTCATCAGATGCCTGATGAAAGCCATTTTCAGCTGATTTAAATCTGTTTTGACCACCATTCTAGTCAAAACTTAAAAAAAAGTGTTATTTTGCCAATCCTGAAATGCAGTAAATCTTTACATATGTCTTGATCTAAGATGCTCCACGTGATACTATGCTTTGATCATGGATTCTCCTATTATGACTGTGAAGTAAAAGGATGTCTCTAATTCAAAGGTGCATAGTAACCTAAAAACAGCTTAACCTGCTTTTCCCTACAGTTAATAGAATAGAGAAGTAATTTTACAGTTATAACCATGTAACTGAGATATAGGGCTGCCTGCATACAACCACATTTATTGATTAAAAAAAAAATCATAGTTTTTCTTTAATCAGGCCTTTGCCCCTCTTAGTCCATGAAATAACAAGAACTTCTTGCTCCTGGATGGGCATTTTTTGTTTAATTGTAATAGCTATTTATAGCTTCCTTTTTTTAACAAGTGCAATGAAGCTAATAGAAGCTGATATACTGCCATTTCCTGGTGAGTCTCCATATTTAATATTCTGAAATATTTAACCAAGTAATATTTCACCAAGTTCTGTAAAAATAACGAAAGTAACAGAATTGG